AGACAGACAGACAGACACACAGAGAGAGAGAGAGAGAGAGAGAGAGAGAGAGAGAGAGAGAGAGAGAGAGAGATCGACCGAGAGAGTCGTCGACAGGTGTTGATCATTCGGTCACGCGGTTTGACACAATTTTGACAAGTAATAACCTCAGGTCACAAGCTGCACCATCGTCGTACGGGAGCACCGTTCGATTTCTCGATGTTCTAGAATCTCACTCCCTGGTGTATACGCGCGCGGCCACCCATCCGCGAGGAAAGCGGTTAAACTCTGGTCGCGCACGAACACGCCCGAGCGCACGGGAGCGCGCGCGCCACGGGAAATCAGGGTACACACGGCCGTTGACGCGTGACGGACGGGAGAACGGGAGATGGTGGTCGTCGGGACGTCGTCGTCGTCGTCGTTGTTGACGACATATCGTTGACACTTAAAAGATCGCGACGCGTATGTATACGCGATTTAGCACGATATCTGGCTGGCTGGCTGTCGTCACCTGCAACGGATGGACAGACGACTCCCCGTTCCTCTTGGTTGCTGCGGTTTTCAAGAGTTCTTAGGATTGTTCCCTCTCCTTTTAGCCCGCGGTTGGAAGTATGAATATAAGAAATGTGACATTGGAAATGCGGAAAGTGTAAAGAAGTGTAGTCGAGAGGGGAACGAGCGTAGAAAGGCAAACGTTCTTGTATGTGTCGCTTCAAGCTGCTTCAGGCAAGTCGCTCTGGCCGAGGCGACGTCGTCTGCGTGCAGCCTCAGGGTGCGAATCGAGAGCGAGGGCGACGGCGACGAGAGCGAAGTATCTCGCGAGAGAGAAACGCACAAGAAAAAGAGAGAGGGAGAGAGCGAAGGAGGAGTTGCTCTTCGCTTACCTGCTCCGCGCGACGTTTGTTGCCGCGGTGTTGGCTGAGGTCCTGGATACGACACCGCTGTCTCTCCCCCCGCCCTGCTTGCGAGATCCGCCGGAATGTAGCCGCTATCAGGTCGACGACGCGTCTCCTTACGTGAGCTCTCGTTCATCGAGAACGCACGACGCACTATTTGCACGCGCGTGAACGGGCGAGCGAGCGAGCGATTGATTGATCGCGTGCCGCGACTATCCGGGAACTATCCCCTGCGACGAGGATCAGTAAACTCGGCGGAGCTGTGCGCGTACACGGCCATTTTCAGCACCACTCATACTACCGTGAGCCATCGCACGCGCGACACACAGACACGCGTGCATACGCACGGATGCTCACCACGCCTGGAAGTGACGTATTGAATTGAGCCAGTGCCGTAGCAGGGACGCAGAGTCCCGAGGTCTGTTCTTTTCTTCTGCACTGGCGGCACTAATGCAAGCAGTGTACACTAAAGTGTTCTTTTCAACGATTACGGCAACTTTATGACGTCATCATTGCTGTCCTTTTCTTCAATGCAGCGGTATTCGGTACAACAGAACACTGCACTGCCTGCCCTAGGTCTCGAGCTAGGGCAGTGGTGTAGTGCAATATGGCGACGTACACGAATAAAAATAGGTTGGAATCCTCAAATAAATAAACAAGCAGCATAATAACTTAATAGCAAAATACCTGTAAGGTAAAATTCCTGTTAAGGTAAAACTTAATATAATTAAAGTAATTATGATATGATTATAGTTATTCAGATAAAATGGATTAAATATTTATTTTAGATATGGAGTTAAACAGAAAAATGCACAAATGTCTATACTAAACTAGATTGCTAACAAGGGCTTCGAACGTGTGTCGCGTAAGGTTTCCGGTTGCATGCGAGAAAATGGCGGCGATCCTGTGTGTGTGAAGTTGTGTGTGTGACGTGTCACTTGTGTACTTACACGTACAAGTGAGTCAACGTGGCCATTAAATTACTGTCGTAAAACCAAAAATGCCAGCATCTTATTGCATCGAAAAATATCGTAACAAAAAAATAGATGGTATTGAACGTTATTTGCTCTGCTCATTTTCAACAAAAGAATTTTATGACTAAACGTATGAAAATATGTGGCGATAGCAGCCATTTTCTCGCATGCACCGGAAACTCTATCGGACACAAGTCGTTATATGCTTTTAGATAACCTGTTAGATCCGATCTACAATAGATGGAGTAAGAAATAAGCAGTAAGCAAATTGACCAATTCCATTCTCACGTTTCAAAAATAATCGATTGTGATTGGTCTGTTTACTTACTGCTTATTTCTTACTCCTACTCCTTACTCCATCTATTGTAGATCGGGCCTTAGCAATCTAGTTTAGTATCACTGAAATATATACCTGGAACGCGTGCTGCCTCTTGAGGCATGCGGGATGACAGAAAGGTTCCTTGTTTTCTCTCTTATCTTTGTCTAGTTCATAGTATAGTCGAGAGTGGGGAGAATGTGATACAGTCCAAGTTAAAAATTAGAGATAATATGAAAAGCAATGATCATTGAATGGCAATAGGGACGTCTATATTGGAAGTAAATAGCAAGAAGGAGGAAGTAAGAGTAAGAAATTGACCAACCACAGTCGAATGTGAGAAGAATAATTAACTATGATTGGTCAATTTCTTATTCTTACTTCCTACTTCTTACTGTTTACTTCCAATGTAGACGTCCCTAATGACTTAAGCTTATGAACGAAAGTTTTAGGATACAAAAAATATATATTTTTTCTCATTTATTAGTATTTACTTATCGACTTATTAAGAAAAACAAACCAAATATGGTTTCTAATTCGGAGATTCAACTTATGTTTAGAAATCAGCCGACTTAACTTTTGGTTCAGACTATACAAAGACAGAGCACTGTTCGATACCTACAAGCATGCTCTGTCTCATTTCGCAACACTCAGGCTGCGTTCCGAATTGCGCTGACAGTGCTGACAGTACTGTTTTCGCGTTCCGAAATCATTTTCAGTATGCTGTAAGAAAGCAAATCTTACTACCTTTTTCACAAAAATAGATCCTAGGGAATTGCTAACTTCCGGCTAATTCGCACATTATTTCGAGGTAGTGCAGGTTCAGTAATGCATATGGCGCCTGTTTCTCAAGTGATAAGTATGAAAAATGACCTTAGGCCCGATTGCACCAACGTTATTTTGGTTTTAAGTGACACTTAAATATATATCTATCTTTATTTATATAGAAAGAAAGATAAAGATAGATATATGTTTAAGTTTCGCTTAAAGACAAAATAATGGCTTGGTTTACATCGTCAAAACGTTAGTACGTGTATTAAATTTGATGCGCACCTATGCTTTAATACGAGTGCGTTTACATCGAACGTATAAAGAAAAAATATAATACGAATTTAATTCATGTCGTTTACCTCCTACTGGTAGTATTTGGAATTACAATTTGCTTAAAATAACTTCGAACGATAGAAGGAATGCATAATTCTAAAAATGTGCTCGTTTCTTCTCTCCTTTTTTACAAGACATTTTACTATAATATAATTTGAAACCAACGGTTATCGATGACACCGGTTTTAATTAGGTTAGGTTTCCTCCAACATTCGTTTCATACGTTTACAACATCATTTGTATCATTTGATACGCGTATTAGTTTAGTACGATACTCCTACTTGGCACGCTCGCATCAAATTGATCCGTCAGTGTTTACATCGTGTGTATTAAATATTTAGTACGAATTTGATACGAATATAGTACTTGATACGCGTATCAAGTGCACGATGTAAACCAAGCCAATGTTGGTGCAATCAGGTCTTAGTAAAATGTACAGTAATTGACGCAACTGAAAATAAATCATACGAAGTATTATTATCTCAACAAGATTACAAACAAGCATTATCAGCCCAGATAGCCAAACCTGTGCGAGCAGATTTTACGCAGAGTCTGTCAACAGTATCTGTTGACAGGATGGCAACAGACTGCACACAGAAACTGTTTTAGCAGTCTCTGACGACAGATTGGTGACAGACAGCGCGCAGAGCCTGTCGACAGATTCTGACGACAGACTGACGGCAGATTGCGCGCAGATTCTGTTTCCTAGATAGGCTATTTAATTCTATTAAGGGCTATATGTACGTTATTAAATGGGGCAGTTTCACATACACACCATGCTGCAGAGAAGTCAAGATAATTATATTGTGTAATAATT